GTGGGGGGGGGGGGGGGGGGGGGGGGGGGGGTGATAGATGGACATGGTTGCTCTATAGAGTGTTGATGATTAAGCAGAAGACTCTTTTGTCTCCACTCTGTCACTATGGAGGTCCATGGTCGGCACTATCACAAAGCATGAATAAAGAACACCACGACATCCACGTTACTAGACGCTCCTCCTCGAGACTAGCTCATATCTACTCATCTTTCTCCATCTTTTTTTCTTTGTGGCATCCAAAGAGACAAAAAGCTTATACATATAAGTTAATTGATCAAAAGTTTATACATTTTCAATTAAAAATTAAAATTAATAGAGAAGTGACACATTGACTGTTAATATGACATTTTGATAATTAATATTTTCAACACTTAACTTTTAAAATTTTATATTTTTTCACCTCATCAAATAATTGTTTAACATCATCAATTGATTATTGCTGACATGACATATTGATTATTAACATGACACATTAAAAATTTACGAGTCATATTATGTTATATTATTATGTATACACTTTGTCGACAATTAATGTTAATAATCATCATATCATGTTAGTTGTGAACATATCATGTCAATGATTAATAGTAGTCAATTAATGAGGTAAATAAATGTGACATTTTGAATGTTTAGTAACAAAATGAGTAATTTTAAAAGTTGGTTGCAAAATTTGTGAAAATGTTAAAGATAGGTGGCAAAAAAAGTGCAATTAAATTAAACAATTTATAATCTACAGTATGCTACATTGTCTACTGGGTACGTAACAAACGTTTAATTCCATTATGCTTTGAGGGAATTTTTTTTGAAAATGAGTAAAGGGGACATGGGTGAATATGTATCATTATATGTGTGCATGCGAGCTCTGTTAATTATGAGTGCTATGACTTAATTTAATTAGGAAGAATCAAAGCGATCATTGGCTTGGACTTGTAAGCATGATATTCATTATTGGGCAGACAAATACATGGAGATTTTACGTATAAATATGAAGTTTAGGTGGCATCATTTTTATTGTCTCACCTTCACTTTTTGCTGCTTTTTCTTGCTTGCTTTTCTTTTATTATCTGTCTCTTATTCTTTCCATAAAAAATCTGAATTAAAATGGGGACAATGAGTACCTCAAGGACTTGAGAGTAGTGCTATGTCTTGTATTCAGCATCAAATCCTCAGAAACCATATCTGAGAATTCACCATCATTCTCACTTTTGAACCCTTAACCCATCAAGGGGCCTCTATGAAACTTTTAGCAGCAGCCCCACGAGAATATGGTTAATTTTTTTACAACCAAAAAAAAAAAAAAGAATTTTCCAATGGGCTCGGTCTTCTCTCTATCCTTGTCATATGGACACCAAAAGTGGGAAATTCCAAATTCCCTTACAAAAAGAGAGGATAAAGAGCTAGATTCTACATCCCACAGAAAACACCCCCAAAGCCCTACCATTTTATTGCGAGGAAAAGTATCTTTGGCTTTATGGTTATATACTTAGGATTCCTCACTCCTCTCGCTTTAAAGCTTATTTTGTTCACAAATAAAAAGGAACTTCGTGGGGGAAGGTAATTCTTTAATGCAAGATAAGGAACCAAGAGATGTAAAGGAACCTTCGTGCATTATATACACATTTAAGACAAAAATAAAGGAAGCTTAGTGCCCGGTTGGTCCCCTTTGCTACATGAGTGCACATGGCATCCTCTAATAGGTTTACAAATATATGCTGATTACGGTTTAACTTGAAGATTTAGCTAGGGACCATAATTACTATGGCATAATAATAAGTGAATTATAGCTAGGCATTAGGCAATACAAATTCGTGAAACCATCAAGTAGCCCAAACTCCCATGTGTACTAATATTTGGACCTCATGATGGAGGATATTGGTGGGAACCAAATGGCACGACAAAATTCCAAAATTCTCATTTAATTCTCCAACTTTTTATGGCGAATGAGATGGCGTCACATTTGGCCTCTTGCCCCAATCTTGAGATATTTAAATTTTAGCCACCGTTCATATAAAAAGACTACTCAACGACCCCAAAACCATTAACCACGCTTGTTATCAATAAAATACTTAAATCTTCTTATCAACTAATGGGGGGAAAAAATACTATTCTATGTAAACTTTGATGATATAAATATCCATTTTAGATGCATCTAGTAATGAGGTTTGTTAGGTTTGCATGTATACAAACTTGGCTTATGTGCGTTTCTTTTATAAAAGGAATGGGAAGAGACCAGTTTTGTGTCTGTGAGGATCAAATTAATATTGGCATTATTGTCCTTCCATCCCAGCTTTTGTCCTAATATCTGTCCCATTAATCCTATAATTCAAAAGCAAGCTTTTTGATTAATATCCAAAAACTTTTGCCCCAACTTGGAGTTAATATTATATTTATTAACTGTATCGATGATCATCGTTTCAATTGTTTATTTCGTTTGCATTACCTGTTCTGTGCGGGGAGGGGGATTTGAAAAATTAGCACATTTGAAGAGAAATTATATTTTTATTCATATTTTTTACAATTAAAAAAGAGAAATCATTACTTTATTAAGTCATGTAAGATTAAGTTAAGTTCAAAGTTATATTTTAAGATATAGTTTCAGTTTTAATGCATTGAAAAAACTTCAAGTTTTGTGTTATAAGTTCAAACTCACATTGTAAGAAAAAGAAAAGAGAAAAATGTAAAATAATATAATCAAAATGTAAATTTGAAAAATATTATAAAAATGTGTAATAAGAATAAAATAGCTTTAATTCATATTTTAATGGATCCCATCTCATAGCGTCGGTATAACGAGTTAATGCAATATTAGTGCATTAATTGATTGATGGAAGCAGCAGCTACCTTTAATTAATAGGCATGTCTTAATAAATTGACAACTGGAGTAAGACACGTTGGGTTGGGGGATCCACATTTGGAACTATACGAAATCTCATATAAAGTAGGTACATGTGGAAAGTGACCATGACTCTTCTCAATATGGACGACTTAGATATTTTACTACATGATGAATTCTTATATACACCATGTAAAGGGCATATGATAACAATTCAAATGGAGAGGGAAATCTGTCGTCTAATGGATCAATCAAGTGCCCATACTTGCGTCATCGGTTATTAGCTCCATCAATTATGCAGAGCAAAGATCCAAGAGCAATGGGTGAAAGAAGTAATGAGCTAAGATTGTCACTAAGTTGCCATGATTTTCTTCACTATGGTCCATCTATGCAGAGAGTTTGATGGACATGGGTCTAGACAGCAGTGTATGGATGTGATGGAGAGAATGGGATGTTCATCCAATAAATAGTTTATATGGTTGTCATGCAAACGTACGGGTGATATGATAATTAAGATAGCATAATGCATAACATGCATGGTTACTTTTATACAAAGACACTACGGGGAAAAAGCCAGGGTAATGTTTTTGTATTGGAAAAAAAAAAATACCTTATGTCGGAGTTATGGGGCTAAATGACAAGCTCTACGTGAGCTTTTCTAGTTGTATAGCTTGGGAGGAAGAAAATTCTGTACTCAAGTAACTTTTTTAAGATATGTTACTCTTTTTTTCTTCCTTTTGCTCTTCAAACTTTAATTTGTACCAGTTGTTTGTCCATAACTTCACATACTTTTAAAGTAATAATTATGACAAAGGCTTCTTCCTATTGGTATAAAAGCGAGCTCTTAACTTGGTGGTTGCTACCCATTTTCCTCTTAACTATAAATGATTTATTTATTAATTAAGTAATATCCAAGGTTTTATACTGTAGTTTTCACACCCATCTTATAAAGAATGAGTTTGATTATAACTCCATCTTATTAAATTAACTTTTAGGGTGAGTATATTTTGTTTTAATTTTATCTTTAATTAATATGGAATTTAGAATTTTTTTCCAATATTATATTGAGAAAAAAATCTTGATGTTACTGTTAAAATTGCGATTTTAGACTAATTTTGAAAACCCTAGTAATAGCTGATGATGTGAAAGTAAAATGGAAACAATGTTTAGGGACTCTTGGTAAACGATCATCAGCACATGAAGATCTATGTTAGGGTGAATGAATACGTACGTGTTTATATAATACCATAATAACTGAGTCTGTAGATGGTCACGAGCAGGAACTGACTAATCAAGGAGTCATAATCAGTGATTGGCCATCTTTATAGCTAGAGGGACCGAGGAGTCCACCCACTTCAGAGTTTTGCCTCACTAGATTCCAGAGAGGGTCTTATAGTTTCTTTTCATTGAGTAATAAGAACAAATAGCAAACCTACAAAGAATCTTAAATGAGAATCATGTGGCATGAGCCAGCAATAGTGCAATACCCAACAGTATGTAAGAGTTTTTTTTTGCGTGGACAGTAAATTCTTGTGACAAGTGGATGTAAATAATTCAAATTGTACTTTTAGATGCATATATATGGTTGAATCGTATATAACTTTCATGTTAGAGTCAGAGAGCCCGTGAATCACATGATTCGTTCAAGAATGAGTCCAGAAATTTTCCTGGATAAGTGGATAGAGTGATGTAAATGAAAGAAATCTATGAAATTAATAGTCATTATTAATCAATCCAATACACAGCACATGGGGAAAGGCCCCAAAGACCTTTTTGCCCCTATGTGAAGAGGGTTCTCCTCTCATGAAAACAAATCAAAAAATTCAAGGATTAAACCTATATATACACGTGCTTCCATCACACGCGCGGACACCAGCCATTGGAGTCCTGTATAGTTAGGCCAAAACTCGAGGCCAAGAAAGGAAAAAAAAATATAAACAGCTCCCGCAAAGAAAAGAAAATTCACACGTACACACTTAATTGGCACGCATCAGAACCGTCTGCACACGTGCCAGTTCCCACAAAAAAAGTCCACAAATTGTAGCCAAACTTCAACTTATTGCCCTTCAATTGTGTTTTTACTGTTGAGGGTATCCCATCAAAGGAACGCGGTGTGTTGAAGAAGCAGTGATGCTGACCATGAAATCTCATGACATGAACAGTTCAAACTTCTATGGTTCATGAACTTTCAATCACCCACGTTTTTTTATACCTGCTCTCTCCCAATCTCTACAGAACTGCTCCACCATCTTTCATCTATTTCAGCTATAATCAATTCAAACTTTGAATTCACGTCCGCAACTAACTTCTTCCTTCCACATTCAAGTTACAAAAACACATCACATTAAATTCTTCTACCCACTGTTTCAGTATTTCCTTCCTTTCTCTCATTTACTTTGCCACAGCAACATGTCGTGAAATCCCTCTCCTCTAGGGATTTCTACAAACTCATTAATGAGCCACCAACATGAAATGAAAATAATAATTATAAATTCTCCAAACCCATCAAACTCTCGTACATACGATAAATATATATACTAAAATAATCTACACCCTCACTCAAGTCATTTTTAACAGAAAAAACCCTCTAAAAAATGTTGAGGTTTCTAGACAACTTGGCCCACCTTATTTCCTCTCTTTTTCTTCCCTTCTTTATTATTGTTGCTCCTTTTTTCTTCACTCGGAGTTTCCTTTGTCATCTACCCACAAACAGTTATTTAATTTCCTCCTCTTACAAGACAACGAGAAGGAGGATGAAGAGGATGATGATGATAAGAATGATGAGACACTTGACCTCATTCGGGTCCGAGTTGTAACTCGCAGCTGCGGCAACACTTTAGTAGGGAGATTCCTGCGGTTATTGTTAATCACAAGTTCTTGCATCAACTCGTAGCACCCTATAACTTTTTCCTGCAATAATCAGATATACGTGAAATAATCAGCATCGCTTTAAAACCCACGTTTATTTTATTCATCATAATTTAACATATATACATACTGTACTTACTTTTCTTAGTCCCTCACACCATGACTCAGCATGCTCAGGTTTAACCGCAGACCAATTAGGAATCTCATGAGCAGCAGAGAGTATGGCTGCAGCAGCAATGCATGATGGCCTGTATGCAAGAAAGCTAGCCTCTGCGGACAAAGTAATCAAACAGGAAACTTATTAATCTTAGTCACTCACAATACAAACCTTCATTATTACTCTACTATTTTTTCAACTTTTAATTTTATTCAATAAATTACCAATTGAAGAAATATGCATACCTTGGATATTAGATACGATGATTTCTGTAGCCCGGGAAATGAGGAACCCGGTTAAAGTTCCAGTTGAATCCACCTTGCAAGCAAAGAAGGCAAGGAAGCTAAGTGGGGTTACTGATCTTAACCTCCAATCCAAGACACCCAGAACAAGTAGTTCCATCCTACGAATTGTTCTCGGCTCAAATATGTACTTGGCACCTTCTATCTGCAGTTTATACATTATAAATATGTATATTATATGAATTACGTAGGAGTATTATGTGAACTGACATGCCAATTCAACATGGCCTTTTAATCATTAACAATGATGAGCTTTCATTACGAAGGAGCGTATGTTTCTTATTGATGCAGAAAGGAGCGTATGATTGAGACCATTTTATTGAACTTAGTGCAAAAGCCAGGCCAATACAGATAGGACTTTTATTTATACCTGAAGGTCTAGGAGAGATGGAACCAGAGGTTCCTCCATCTTTGCCGCCAAAGACAAACATGCAACAGATAGGAGTTGCAGAGGCCACCCATTTGTTTGCTGTAAACATGGATGCACAGGATCATATCAAACAGTGAATCGAAAAGGTCATTATAATCATCACCACAATAATTGTTTTTCAATATCTAGATTAAGTGGTAATACTTTTCAAACTTTCTGCCACAAATGCCAGCATGTATCCCTCACGTGACATGCACACGCAGATAAAAGTACTAGAATCTTCTGCAAGCTGTCACTATCCACTGTATGTAGTACTACAACAGTATATTTTGCCTAATACACACATTGTTTATATTTACACGCTATTTTTTCTTTTTTGGAAAAAAAGTTACTGTCATTTAATTCTCGTATAAATAACTCGTATGATGGGTGTATTAACTTTTGCGTAAAATTCAATATTTTTATATTAAAGCATGATAGAGTATTTTGTCGTACATAAGAAAATAAATGCGTTGTTTAATCAATAATTGAGAGGTTAATTGGAATAGGAACTACTTTTAGATTCAGCATAAAGTGGTCCAAAACCCTTAGAATTTTCATGATTTAATAATTAGAACTTGTAATATTTGCACGTAACCAGTATGACGACAGAAAAAGTAGCCATGATAGCGAAGATATTTTATACATACATATATGCAATTTCATATTTTATATTTTGAAAATGAATCTCACAGCCCAACTCCAATATAAATAATCAATATTAACGCTAATCTCACATTAAACAATTCCGCATTATGCATTACCTACCCCAACTTATATTATTATCATTATTTTTCCCGACACTCGGCACATTTCTTTCTGAAAGATTACATTACAGAATAAATTTGTATAACTTTTTATTCAATGATAAAAGAGAGAAAAAAGAGTGAAATATGAAATAAAATAAAATAAAAATACTATAAAAAAATATTAATTTATAATATGACTTTATAAGACCATCAGTTTCCCAAAAAAGTAAATATGAGAATTACTCCGAGTATTAAAGCAGCTTGCATTAAATAAATACATCAAGATAACAAAACCTTAAGAATTCATTGCCGTAAGCCTTTAATACTTTTCACGTCTCAAAAGTCAAACGTAGATACCGCATAGAAATTAAATTTTCTTCGCACGCATTTACTATTAATATTAATTTATTACGTATTAATATTTATTAATAATAATCAAAAGCTCTGTTCCGAGTTTTCCATCTTTTGGAATTAACATTTCAAAGCTGCCGAGAAATGAGAGCTCACCGGCAACCGGCGAGAATCCAAAAACCGATCCATATAATTGACGGCAAGGTACGCCGTCAAAGGTTGAAAGCCGTAATACGCGTGAACCTGTGAAACACGCATCACAGCGTCACTGATCAATATATACAAAATAAAAAAAGTAATTAACGCCGTCAAACGACGGTGAACTACGTACGACGCAGATCTAGAAGATACTAGAACCAAGGCCGTTACGGAGAGACGGTTACACCAGCGGCGCATTTTAGCGTGGAGCATTTTTTTAGTTTTAGTTTTAGTTATTTATTTTATTTACCTTGAGAATCCATGCAACGGATTCTTCTCTGGCGTTGGCGTCGAGGGAGCGAGATTGGAACCTCGACAGGTACTCGAATCCAGGGACGAAGTTGCGCTCGTGCTCGATGAAGCTTGCGATGGAACAATCCTCCGTCGTCGACGGCGGCGACGGAGGCGGCGGAGAGGAGTCGATGTCGGAGGAGCATTCCGGCGAATCTCCAGAGAGGATTCCGGATGTGTCCTCGGCGCAGAGGAGGTCGTAGTCGGAGATGCAGGAAACCGACATGAGGAGCGCCGGCGGTGGTTCCGCATTCATTGTGGTGCCATGTGGATTTGGCGGAGGTTGCCGGAACCTCACCGGAGATGCCGCCGGAGAATTGATTTTGCGGAGAGGGAGTGTGTGTTTGTGTGTGAATGAGTGTTGGTGATGAGAGGGAAGTGTTGTCTTGGTATCTGTTTCTTTGACTATATATATGCGCTGCTTCTGTCTCTTTTTTCTCTAACAATTAATAATATTAATGACTAATAAATAACATACAAATTTGTTAAACTTTTTTTTTTTATTTTTTCCCCTTAGATATCTACTCTTAGAGTTTTTCTTTTTTCTCAGATCAACTTGCACGAGATTTTATTCCACTAAAAGTGTTTTTGAATGAGAGGGATTTTGTTACTTTTAATAATCATAATATTATTAGCTTCGATGAAGAATATATATAGTTCTTATTAGAAAAAAAAATACAATTTTTTCGATTATTATTATTATTTTAATAGTGAAAATTTTATATTGTTTTGTACAATTTAAATTTAAATCGTACTATTATTATTTTAATTTTGAGATTTGTAATTACAAAAATGAAAATGAGATCAATTATTTTATTTAATTATTTCAAAATTTAATTAAAATCATTGATAATATAAATATTTTCATATTATTATCATTTAATTATGAATGGTTAGTTAAGTTTTATAATTGTTATTTTAAGATTATATTTAAATGATTGATTTCTAATTTATACTCACAGTCTCTTAAATTATTATTATTTTTTATTTCAGTCATTAAAGATGATAAAATTATAATATAGAACTGCACTAGCAAGCAGATGGCGCGTTGCATGTTTAGTAATAGGCAGTTTCACCATAATAAATTTATAAAAAAATAAAAATTATTAAAATAAATTAATAAAAAAAACTATTTATCAAACTAAATAGTTTTGGTCACGTCGGAATTGGAAAGACAAAGAAAACATCAGTTATGACGACGAGTTCCAGATGCAATGCACGTAGAAAGAGTAACAGTGACTGGATCATTGAAAACGTCATTGCAACTGACGTTTCATGTTACACAAAGCAATACAAAGAAAGTGTCAACCACTGTGACGACTTCCATTGGTAGCCCAAAACGTCAATTTGCTTGATGAGTTGCTCCCTTCACCACTTGATCTTGCTACAACATTTTGTTTCTTACTTTAACATGATATTTAGTTCCATCCAATAAGCATGCAATATCCAAAGGTGGATCATCTATCACTAGATAACCTACCCATACAACATCTAAGTGTTATCTAGGTGTGTCCTCTATCTTTACAAAGTAATCGTTTTTCAAGAGCCTCTTTGGTCTATTTGAACATCTAAATTACCGCATCCAATGGTCTTGGCAAGTAAAGTTCAAGAACTAGTTTATCATACTTACAAGAAAGGAACTGTCCAATTAGATGACAATGAGATAATTTAGTTTCCCAACCAACTTTCTATATCTCCATGGATTTAATAATGGCTCCCCTTGATTGAGTAAAATTTTTAAGTTGGGATCCATAGAGTGTCCATAAATTTGGCATTCAATAAGTTAGTTTCTTCAAGGATGTTAACAGCATAATTATTCTAAGAAATCACTAGTCTAGTCTTAGATTGAGACACATTAATACCTAAGAAATATTAAAGTTTCCCGAGGTCCATTGTTCAAAACTATCATGAGAGCGGTATTGTTTTAAGTGCATTATATCATGTTGGTGACCTACAATGACAATGTCATCTACATATACAATGAGGTAGATGCACCCTTGAGGGGAATGACACTAAAAGAATGGTTCATTATGAATCAACTTAAACTACTATACCACAATGCAAAGATTTTCCAAACCAAATTTGAGGGAACTTTTTAAGTCCATATAAGACATGTGAAGTCAACAAACCATGGTGGAGGTTTCTCTTTGAGCAATAAATCCATGTGATTGCTTCAAATATACTTATTCATCAAGCCCGCCATGGAGCTGGGTTCAAATTTGACCCGTATTGAAATTTTCAAATTTTTTTCAACCCAACCCGGCTCGAACCCGTGGTGAGCCGGGTTGGCTCACCGGGCCAAGCCCATTTTGACAACTCTAGTAACTTAGAATAATGGGGGCATGGATTAGGAGTAGAACAAGTACCTTTTCTAAGGGCTGTGAGTAACTTAATGTCAAGAGGCAAGTCCAAAGATAGTAGCAAACTTGGTACTGAGATAGGGGTCTAGTATGGCCTCTCTTGTTGGATCATCTAGAGTTGCAACTTACAATGATGACCTTGATATGTTTGAAGTGGTATAGAAACCTTTCTAGGGACAATAATAAACAATATCTTAAGAGTGGAAGCGAAAAACTAGAAGGTGACATCAAAGAATATGAAATAAAGGTTAAGAATAAGAAGCAAACAATGATAACCTTTCTATGATCAGTGACACCCTAGGAAAACACACTTAAGAGACCAAGCAACTAGTTTATTAAGTATTGGAGAAAGATTGTGAATAAAACAAGTGAATTCAAAGACACTTGGTGGGATCGAATGTTATGGTGTTTATGGAAAAAGTATCGAGTGAAAGACTTGAACTTTGAGGACCAATGATAGTGTTCAATTGACGAGGCATCAAGTGGTGAGGATGATATCGCCTTAGAAGCAAGGTGGAAAATTGTTGTGGAAGAGAAATATGTGAGCAATCTCAACAAGATGTTGATTTTTGCGTTCAATAACTCTATTTTGTATTGGTGTATGGGTACAAAACTTTTGATGAAGAATACCTTTAGATACCATGAATTTCTAAAAAGGGTTACATAAATATTTGTGTGCATTACTATTTTATAAGGCATGAATAGGAACACCAAATTGGGTTTTGATTAAACAATGACTAAGAAATAGAAAATAACTTGATGTATGTTTTATTATATATAATCAATTACAATGAGTGAAGTCATCAATAAAAGTTACAAAATATTTAAATTCAAAGAAGTAATAACATGAAAGAAGTCGACTCAATGACATTATCATTATGAACCAATAACATCTTCAATCATATAACATGATTGGATTGATCACAAACTTGATTCACGATTAAATTGGTCTAATCAGTCAAATTTAGTCTAAATTTTAAAACACTGCCAAATGGTTAAAACAATTCACACACTACCCAACTAATTGAGGTAAGCCTCTTTTATGAACAATAATTAGTCTTTTTATTCTAAAAATTTCACATAAAAATATATTTATGACATCAAAATTGGAAAGAAACATCGTTAAGATTTAACTTAAAAATTTGAAAGTTATAAATCTCAAAATAAATTTCCACCGCCAATAAAACAAAATAATTAAACAAAAAAAATACTTTGGTTATATTTTTGGTGTTTTTAAGAAGGATAATTGATAGGTTATTAAGTTGCTTAGACATATTCATAAAATTTCAATTCCTTATTATATATATAGAAAATAATTTGTTAAAAAAACCTATTTGGATAATCTTTCCAACTCAAAGATTTAGCATTACTTTTAATACACATCAAATAAACAAAACCCATTGTTTATAAAAGGGTCAGAAGTGTGACCAGCTTCCACATCGCCTTCCCCACCTCTCAAATAATGATCACTAAAAGCTGGTTGGTTGGGGTATTTAGATTGGCAATGTATACGTTCAATCTATACAATACAGAATTGTATGCAGGAACTAAAATTTTGAAAAACATGAATTACCATTGTACGATAATAATCTTTAATTCAATTCAATTTAGTGAACCAGATTGTTGAAAAGCAAAACATGGGGTCTCATCATTATTAAGTTCTTGTCTTAAAAATGTCAATATTAAGTGACCCAGTACGCGTTGTGCCTTTACCCTAAGGTATGTGCCATCGTAGCTAGCATTTATATCAGTATTTGGTTGTCCTTTGCATGCCATTTCCTAAGTACCAATCGCCCAATTACAAACCATAAAACGCCAACTTTCCTCAGCTACTACTTCACTTCTTCCCTACTTTGCTCCAAGTGGATTTGTCTTGTCGCTTGAGAAGTTGAGACATTAATTTTCACTAAGTTACAACAATTTGGTGACAGTATTCCATGATCAATTATTTTCTCTTTTTACTGTGAAAGAGTAGAATGATTTAATCAGGTGAGAAAATGGCTATTCCATTATATGCAATTGTATATTCATAATTTTTTAATAAGAAAGATTATCCATATCGCAATAAAGATTAAATTTAAGTTTTAATGACCTTCTGATCATATCTTATTAAATTAGTACATATTTACTTGTTACGAAAGTAATTAACTTTTTTAAATTATTTCTTTTAGAGTTTTTTTTATATAAGTTATTATAAGTGCTTTTTTTAAAACTTTTCTATTAAAAAAAGTTTTTTTATATTGATTAGAGAACTTTTAAGAATATCTCTAAACTCATATCTAAATATACACTTAATTATCTTTGAAAATTGGGCTAGTGACTTATGCACATAATATTTATATAAAAAAAATGTTGGAAAAGTCTTTTATTTTATTTTTCTTGCTATATGTCACACAGTATAATTCTTAGACATCGATGTAAATTGTGCATGGACCATTATAGGTTGTACCCTCCTAGATTCGATCAGTATTATTCCTATACCTCAATATGTGTTGGGGGTATGGACCCATCATTCTTCTGTCATGAGTTGTTATGAAATAGGGCACAGTTATTTAATATCCAAAGTTATAATCGAGAATAGCAACTGGATTCAATCATATATAAAGCTTCAGTTGTTTAAATTACAACTGAGTTTCCCTTCTTGTTTGTTTAGAAAAATTACGGAGAAGTCAATATTGACAAAAACTACTTGTACCTTGTTTTTTCTCTTCCACAATTTATACTAGACAAAACTAATTGATGTTACCTAGAAAATTAAATGAGAAGAAATTTGTGTTGTAACCGCTGGAGATTTGAATTGGTCTGTAAAAAGTGTGAAGAGAAAAACTTTCATTATTTTAAGCTAAAATTATACTTATACTTGTTATTTCACAAGAAGAGTAATTCTCAATTATTCTATTTATGAAATCTTGAATTTGATGAATAGTTTTTAATCCATTTATAGAAGAATAAATCTAGGAAAAGCATGAAGAATAATTCTCAATTATTCTATTTATGAAATCTTGAATTTGATGAATAGTTTTTAATCCATTTATAGACGA